GGCTAGAGCAGCAGAAGAGGAACATAAATTGTGAAGATTTCATATTAATATGAACATTTATCAGTTCTCAAATTATACTTCTATAATTTCTTATGCCTGCCTTTAATCTCTTAATCCTATTATCTTCATAAGTTGAGGTTGTATGTTACCTCAGGACTGCTGTGATAATTGTGTTAACTGCACAAATTGATTGTAAAACGTGTGTTTGAACAATATAAAATCAGTGCACCTTGAAAAATAACAGAATAATAGCGATTTTTATGGAACAAGGGAAGACAACCATGGGGTTGAGCAAAAAGAGCCATATTTTTCTTCTTGGAGAGGGCCTATAAATGGATCTGCAAGTAGGAAACATATTGCTAAATTCTTTTCGTAACAAGGAATGTTAATATTAATACCCGGGGGGAGGGGGGAGGAATTGCATTGGGAGTTATACCTGATGTAAATGACGAGTTGATGGGTGCTGACGAGTTGATGGGTGCAGCACACCAACATGGCACAAGTATACATATGTAACAAACCTGCACATTATGCACATGTACCCTAGAACTTAAAGTATAATAATAAAAAAAAATAAATTTAAAAAAACTATTAATACCCTGGTAAAACTATGCTTTCCTGGGAAGAGGTTTATAAATAGCTGCTCTGGAAATGTCTGTCTTGTGCAGTTGAGATAAGGACTGAGATAAGCCCTGGTCTCCTGCAGAACCCTCAGGCTTACTGGAGTTGGGAAAACTCAACCCTGGTAAATTTGTGATCAGACAGGTTCTCTGCTCTCAAACCCTGTTTTCTGTTATTTAAGACGTTTATCAAGACAATATGGGCACCGCTGAACATAGACCCATATCAGTGGTTCTGCTTTTGCCCTTTGCCCTGTGATCTTTGTTGGACCCTTATCAGTTGTTCTGCTTTTGCCCTTTGCCCTGTGATCTTTGTTAGACCCTTATCAGTGGTTCTGCTTTTTGCTCTTTGAATCATGTGATCTTTGTACCTACTTTCTGTTCTTACACCCCCTCCCCTTTTGAAACCCTTAATAAAAACTTCTGGTCTGAGACTCAGTTGGGCATCATGGTCCTACCGATAAGTGATGTCACCCCTGGTGGCCCAGCTGTAAAATTCCTCTCTTTGTACTGTCTCTATTTCTCAGCCAGCTGACACTTATGGAAAATAGAAAAAGAACCTATGTTGAAATATTGGGGGCAGGTTCTCTCAGTAATAATACAGATATGAAAAACATTTGATAGAAATCCAACATCTATTCGTGATTAAAAATTATCAGCAAGCTGGAAATAAACAATTTCTTACCATGACTAAAACCATCTACAAAAAAATCCACAGCCAATATCATACTTAAAGGTGAAAGATTTAATGCTTTCCCTCTAAGATTGGGAGCAAGTAAAGAATGGCTGTTCTTACCACTCTGATTCAAAATTGCATTGGAGGTTCTATCTATTAATCCACTCTCTAGGTTGGTGTGTACACATTGTTTAGCACCCACTTAGGAAATGAGAACATGTGATACTGACTTTCTGCACCTGACTTGTTTCGCTTAAGATAATCACCTCCATTTGTATCCATGTTGCTATAAAAGACAAGACTTTATTCTTTTTTATGGCTAAACAGTATTCAACAGTGTATATATACCACATTTTATTTAACCATTCATCTGTTGATTCCCTATCTTTGCTATTGTAAACAGTATTTGGACCACATTTCAAGTACTTAATTAGTGTCCACATGCAGCAAGTGACTACCATATTGGACAATGTAGCCCTAACTCACTGTATGACCTTGGGTAAGACTTGCAAACTGTCACTGCTTCGATCTCTCCATTCATAAAACGAGGATGGCAACAATACTTCCCTAAAAGGGTAAAGACTGAGTTACTGTGTGTACAGCACTTCATGCCTCCCCGTCGGTGCTTCACCCTGGGGCTGGAGTGAGGACCTAATCTTAGTGTCAGATGACACAGCACAGCAGGACCCAGGTCCTTGGGTCAGAAAAGTCCATGTTCGCACATCTCCAGTATCAGTAAAGTACAGCTTCCACCTCTTAAAAATCAGGACTGTTTGCTCTCCTGGGTCAAAGTAACTTCTGGGCTCAGGGTAAACACCGAGTTACTGTGTGTAAAGCACTTCACGCCTCCCCATAGGTGCTTCACCCTCGGACTGGAGTGGGGACCCAATCTTAGTGTCAGATGACACAGCACAGCAGGACCCAGGTCCTTGGGTCAGAAAAGTCCATGCTGGCACCTCTCCAGTGTCAGGAAAGTACAGCGTCCGCCTCTTAAAAATCAGAACTGTTTGTCTGCTCCTTCTGGGTCAAAGTAAGTTCAGGGTCAGGATCCTGGATCCAGCAAAGGGTTTGGTTAACATTGCAAGAAAGATGTTGCCTCATGGCCAAAAGTCAGGCCTAGGATGAGACAGGCAGACATGGACACATTCACACCCAAATTTTGCAAATTTGGACTGACCCTGTCAGAGGCTGTATGGGTGCAGGGTCACAGTGAAGATAGAGACAAATGGGAGTCCAGTAGATGTCAATCAAACTGGACCCAGTTTCTGCATACCTGGAGCTAAACAGAGACACAAAGTTAGAGAGAGATAGAGCCAGAGAAATTTCCTGCACTGTGAAGATGGTCAGAGGCAGGAAAGAAACTCCTCAGCACTAGTTAGAGTGATTAGAAACCAAGGAGACCTGATCGCTGCACCTGCCAGTCTCAGTTTCTGTCTCCCTCCAGCTGACCACCTCTTCCTCTGAGACTCACCAGTTCTGCATCTCTTGTCTCTCATTCTGTTTCACCCATCACTTCCACCTGTGGCTGTCACAGAAGGGCGGATTAAGGAGGGGACACTGGAGATAGACCCTGAGCATTGAAGGGAGCTAGCCCCTCCACAACTGTAGGTCTTTCTCATCAGGTGGGTTGAGAGACTGAGAAAAGAAATAATACACAGAGACAAAGTATAGAGAAAGAACAGTGGGCCCAGGGAACTGGTGCTCAGCCTACAAAGAACCTGCATCGGCGCCAGCCTCTGAGTTCCCTCAGTATTTATTGATGATTATTTTTACTCTCTTAGTGAAGGAAATGTAGCAGGGCAACAGGTGGGGAGAAGGTCAGTAGGGAAACATGTGAGCAAAGGAATCTGTATCATGAATAAGTTCAAGGAAAGGTACTGTGCCCGGATGTGCACGTAGGCTAGATTTATGTTTCTTTTTACCCAAACATCTTAGATTAGCAAAGAGTAACAGAACAGTATTGCTGCCAGCATATCTCGCCTCCAGCCACAGGGCAATTTTCTTCTATCTCAGAATAGAACGAATAGGAATGGTCAGCTTTACACCAAGACATTCCATTCCCAGGGATGAGCAGAAGACAGAAGCCTTCCTCTTATCTCAGCTGCAAAGAGGCCTCCCTCTTTCCCTACTCCTCCTCAGCACAGACTCTTTATGGGTGTTGGACTGGGGGACGATCAGGTCTTTCCCTTCCCATGAGGCCATATCTCAGGCTGTCTCGGTCAGGGGGAACCTTGGACAATACCCAGGCTTTCTTGGGCAGAGGTCCCTGCAGCTTTCCGCAATGCATTGTGTCCCTGGTTAATCGAGAATGGAGAATGGCAATGACTTTTACCAAGCATACTGCCTGCAAACATATTGTTAACAAGGCACATCCTGCACAGCCCTAAATCCTTTAAAACTTGATTCCATACAGCACATGTTTCCGTGAGCACAGGGTTGGGGCTAAAGTTACAGGTTAACAGCATCTCAAAGCAGAAACAATTTTTCTTAGTACAGATCAAAATGGAATTTCTCATATCTTCCTTTTCTATGTAGACACAGTAACAATCTGATCTCTTTCTTTTCCCCACAAGCATCTGCAGGCTTCCAAAGAGAGGGGCTAGGAGATGCACCAACACACAAGCACAAATACGCCAGCACACAGATACACACAATTGGTTCACATATTGCTGGATTACAGTTTGCTATGCTACAAAGACTGTGGGCCAAATTTGATTGAATTGAACAATTCCTTCTTTTTGTCAGCTTCTTAATTTTTATTTTATTTTATTTTCTTAAGATGGAGTATCGCTCTGTCATCCAGGCTAGAGTGCAGTGGCATAATCCCAGCTCACTGTAGCCTCCACCTCCCAGGTTCAAGTGATTCTCTTGCCTCAGCCCACCGAGTAGCTGGGATTAAAGGTGCCCCCTACCATGCCTGGCTAATTTTTATGTTTTTAGTAGAGATGGGGTTTTGCCATGTTGGCCAGGCTGGTCTCGAACTCCTGATCTCAAGTGATCTGCCCGCCTTAGCTTCTCAAAGTGCTGGGATTAGAGGCGTGAGCCACCGCGCCCAGCCAGCCTCCCAATTTTGAACATACACTACCACCACCTCCACAACACACAAATGAAATGCACTTTCATATATGAAGCTGTATAAATACAAGGAAGCTCCAAGCATGCAAGGATATACACATAAGCACCCCCAGATTCAACCACAGAAACACACACCAGCACATTTGCATAAATACAAACATCCCTTTACACATAAAGATCATATAAACACATACATGAATGCAAGCAGGCATGGACAAATGCATGCAAGCATAAACAAACAGACAAAGCTAAGTAAAAAGGTGTGCATGCTCACCTATGCTTACAAAAATACACATACACATACCCACACACCCACACATTCACATGCTCAGGTGGACTTTGATATCTCTACCAAGATGTATCCCTGCCAACATCTTGAGAGTGGGTAAGGGATAGGCATCAGGTTGCTGGGTTGCCCAAGCAGGAAGTCTGGGTTCCCTAACACATTTTTCTAAGCTAATGCTCCCAGACAATAATGAGAAAGGAGGCGGGGAATGGATGAAGTTTCATAACTGGGTAGAGAGGCAGGTTCAGGATAAAAGGCCCAGTTAGAGGCTGCAGTGGGGTGCAGGGCGGTCACACCGGAACCATGGAGCTCAGCTTCCTCCTCTTCCTTGTACTCCTTACAGGCCTCTTGCTACTCCTGGTTCAGCGCCACCCTAACGCCCATGGCCGCCTCCCACCAGTTCCCTGACCTCTGCCCCTTTTGGGAAACCTTCTGCAGATGGACAGAAGAGGCCTGCTCAGATCCTTTCAGAGGGTAAGGCACAGATGAATGGGGTCTGAGGGTGGGCTGCTTCTTGCCTCTGTACTTGGGGATCCTTCACCAAACAGAATGAGGCAGACTTCCTGAGTCAGGTTGGTGAGTACAGCGCATAGTGAAGCATGATGGGTACTATTATCAGGAGAAAAACATCAGTCAAATTAAATTCAGCAGACTTTATTTGAGCAAAGAAGTGACTCATGAATCGGACAACTCCCTAAACCAGGAGACATCACACGGCAGTATGGGCAAGCGGTATTTACAGGCAGGAAAAGGAGGTGACATGTAGAAACAGCCTGATTGGCCACAGATCACAGCTTGCCTTACTTGGTAACAATCTGAGCAGTTAGTAGCCTGTGGTGGACTGAAAGCCCAGCTGCTCTGATTAGCCAACACTTGGCTACTTGTCACAAGAATATATTCGTTTGGGCCGGGTGCAGTGGCTCATGCCTGTAATCCCCGCACTTTGTGAGGTCGAGTGGGTGGATCACCTGAGGTCAGGAGTTCAAGACCAGCCTGGTCAACATGGTTAAACTGTGTCTCTACCAAAAATACAAAAATTAGCTGGGCATGGTGGTGTGTGCCTGTAATACCAGCTACCCAGGAGGCTGAGGCAGGAGAATCACTTGAATTCAGGAGGCGAAGGTTGCAGTGAGCAGAGATGGTGCCACTGCACTCCAGTCTGGGTGACAGTGTGAGACTGCATCACAAAAACAAACAAACAAACAAACAAAAGAATATACTCCCTCCCAAGTTAGGTTGCAGTTCACTCTATGCAGAGAGAGCTTTAGGTCAAATTTAATTTAATTAAACAATTCTTAGGCATCAACATGACTTCTGTCACCATCGTAATTGACTTGTTTGCTCTCAGTATGAAATTCACAATGGACAATGTCAAAGTGCTTGAGTGATTCTTTATGTTTTCTTCATGTTTTTGTTATTCATACTGTAATGAAGCCATTGGATGTACAAAGAGTGGCTGCATATGAGCATTTAAGACTCTCTCTCTCTTTTTTTTTTTTTGAGACAGCGTCTCACTTTGTTAACCAGGCTGGAGTGCTGTGGCGTGATCTTGGCTCTCTGCAGCCTTGACCTCCCAAGGCTCAGGTGATCCTCCTGCCTTAGCCCCACAAGTAGCTGGAACTACAGGTGCATGCCACCATGCCCAGATACTTTTTGTATTTTTTTGTAGAGACAGGGTTTTACCATGTTGCCCAGACTGGTCTCAAACTCCTGGGCTCAAGCAATCCACCTGCCTTGGCCTCCCAAAGTGGTTGGATTACAGGTGGGAGCCATTGCACCGGCCAAGACTCTTGAGAAAATACAACACGTCAGGGAGACTGTTATGATGGCTCTCAGGAGGGTAATACAAAGAAAATGAAGTCTGTACATCACCAGGAGTCTCCATGAACCAAACTGATCAACATCGAATAATTCAAAGCTCAGGCAATAAAGATAGTTCAATAGTATTAGAGTCTGATTGGTCATGGACTTTGTTCAGGGCACGATGGTGATTAAGGACCAGAACTTGCTATAAAATAACTTGATTTAAAGAGTTATTCATTTTTGTAGTTAGCCTGGTAACACATGTCATAGTGTCCTGGAGACCCACTAGAAGAAACATTAAGAGTAGAAAACCTTGGGATATTCGGGCTTGCTGTGTTAGTCCGTTCTCACACTGTTGTAAAGAGATACATGAGACTGGGTAATTTATAAAGAAAAGGGATGTAACTGACTCACAATTCCACATGACTGGGGAGACCCCAGGAAACTTACAATCATGGCAGAAGGTGAAGGAGAAGCAAGTACTTTCTTCACAAGGTGGCAGAAGAGAGAGTGAGAGCAAGAGCGAGAGAGAGAGAGAGAGCGCAAAGAGGGAAGAGCCTCTTATAAAACCATCAGTCTTGTGAGACCTCACTCACTCTCACAAGAATAGCATGGGGGAAACCGCCCCCAGGATCCAATTACCTCCTACCAGGTCTTTGCCTCCACACCTGGGGATTACAATTCAAGATGAGATTTGGGTGAGGACACAGAGCCAAACCATATCACTTGCCATCCCATTCAGGATGCTTGCAAACCAACTGTTAGCTGCCCCCATAAACACATATCTTCTTTTTGCCCTGAGAAATTTCCTTAGTGTATTTTGTGGCAGTGTCTAGAGAAATAGCATTGTCAGCCACATTTTAAATTAAGTTATCTGTACTAGCAAATTCACGGGAAAGATAAGAGCAATATTTGGTTTTGTTCAGCACCATACACAAGCCTCCAAGATGGGCAAAGAGGAGATCTAAAACTGGATGATGTTCCATTAGGCGTTTCTGTTGAACACAAATGTTCTTATCCTCCTTTTGGAGAGTGGCTTCTACCCATCTGGACACCTTGGAGGTTCAATTGGCTACAAAATTCAAGATATCCCTTAATGTATAAATTAGCCTCAGATTCCATACAACTGTCACCCCAGTACCAGCAAGAGTGAGCACCCAGGGACTCCATTGGAACCTTTTCTCAGCAGAAACCAACTTATCTTCATCAATTTTGAGGTTGATAGTGATTTCAGTTATTGACTGGTTTGGCTTTTAACTATGGGAGGTATTATTGAAATCTCAGGGAAACAATTTGGAAACCAGCAGTGAACTCAGGAAGGACCAGGCGTCCATCCAGGTTCTCCATGAGTGCATGCTTCACACTGGAGTTGCAGCCTCTTAAATACAAATTTTTAATACCATAAGTAGCAATTTATGCTTCTCTAATTCAGGTACATAACACTGGTTTATTAAATAGGTTATCATAGGTAATTTGATGGTGCCATTGCACTCCAGCCTGGGTAACAGATTGAGACCCTGTCTCTGAATTGGAACAACGTGGGGGCACTGTCCTTGGAGGGGTGAGTGGGCATGACGAGGTGTCTGGGTATGAGCCACAGGTGTGGAATTTCACTCTTCTCTGCCATCCTCTGTTACATCTTTGGGTACCTGCCTGCCACTGAAAGAACGAGGTAAAAGAAGTGGTGGCACGAATCAAATAGATTTTGCTGTGCCATTGAGAGACAGCAGACTAGCAAATCTCAGTGCCAGGCCAGTGGAGGAGAGAGGGAGAGCAGGAAAGGAGTCTGGGCAGGGAGTGCTTATCAACAATATACATAATGCCCTATAACGGTAACTGCCACTTGCTCAGTGTTTTCCTGGCTTATCACTGCTTACCATGCATGATTTTATGTTTAAATATGTACTTATTATTAGTAATCAACCAACTCATTTTCCAATGGGAGAATTAGAACACTGACAATACCTTCCAGCTCCTCTTCCCCTTCCCCCTCCCATGTTGACCATACTCCTGAATCTTAGGCTTGTTATCCCTTTGCTATTAATAAAGCTTTTTTTTTTTTTTTCCTGATCAATGGTCTTTTTACTGATACCAAGTACAGAGTGTATATGCCAATACTATTATGAATTTTAAAAGTATTTGCTTAGACAGAATACATGGACATACAAATGATGAATGTGATAATTGTCATACATATATGTTTATCGTAGACACTTAATCAAAACACGTGGTCTTTGGTTATTGTTAGACACTGACACTTTACCTGGAAGATACAAGGTAATTGGGTCATAGACTCTCAAATTATGGAACCTTTAGATTTTTCAGGGCAATGCCATGGAGGGAGCCAGGGAGGCTTATGATTAGGTAAGATGTTGTTTGGGTGGCTCACCACCCAACTGGTCAACACTCAAAGATGTGGTGGCTTATACCTGTATTCCCAACACTTTGGGAGGCTGAGGTGGGAGGATCGCTTGAAGCCAGGAGTTAGAAATGAGCCTGGGCAACCAAACAAGACCCTGTCTCTACAAAAAAATTTTTAAAATTTAGCCAGTCATTATGGCATGTGCCTGTAGCCCCAGCTACTTGGGAGACTGAGGCAGGAGGATCACTTGAGCCCCACAGTTTGCGGCTGCAATGAGCTATGCTCACGTCACTGCACTCCAGCCTGGGTGACAGAGCAAGACTGTGTCTCTTAAAAATATATCATCTGCAGTGTGAGGGGTGATAACATTTAGGAAAGTGTGTATAGGTTTAAATTCTGACCAAAGACATCCTACACAATGCACTGAACCTTGTCTTTAAGGGCTTTTTCTAAGCAAGGCAGAGGCTACCTGGGCACCAATCATGCCTCTATTAACAGAATTTGTTGCTCCTTCTAGCTCTTAGTATCTCACTGCCCCCTTTCTTTATGAGAGCTGGTATGGTCATTGAATAGCCCAATCATTTACAAATTCTGAAACAAGCAAAACTGTCAATGAAATTTGTATTTGCCTAAACTGAGTTTCAAAAGGGTCTTTGTGGCTAACTTGTTAGTTCATAGAAAGTGGAGGCTTGTCAGGAATGATACTGAATTTTTTCATTTCAATTGTTTTAGAGACAGAGCCTCAGTCTGTTACCCAGGCTGGAGTGCAATGGCACAGTCATAGCTCACTGCAGCGTTGAACTCCTGGGGTCAGGAGATTCTCCCGCTTTAACCTCTAGAGTAACTGGGACTACAGGTGTGAGACACCATGCCCCACTATTTATTTTTATTTTTGTAGAGATGGGTTCGGGGGAGGATCTCACTACAGTGCCTAGGCTGGTCTCGAACTCCTGGCCTCAAGCAATCCTCCTGCCTCAATCTCCCAAAGTGTTGGGATAAGTTTTGAAAAGACATGTTTGACCCTCTCCCCTTCTTTCTTGCAGCAAAGATTTCTATTTTCCCACATGGAGGACTTGGGGTAAATAGTTTGTTTTGCTCTTGTTGTTGTTGTTTGAGGATGTGGGTGGATCATCTTGGTTAATGTCAATGCAAGAACAGTGTCTGTTCCTCATTATTGGGGTTCCTTAGCTATCCAGGCAAGCAACAGCTCCCTTGAGAAGACTTCCTGGACCCAGGTCCCCACCATATGCTCTCATACACCAGCTGCCCCTCCTTACTGAGCCTATGTCCTTGACAGTGCTGCATTTACCTGTGAACCTGTGGCTGAGCACTCCCTCACACTTCCAGACAAGGAAGACCTGTGAGGTCTCAGCACAGTGCTGAACATAGTGCCTGGTACACAGTAGGCGTTTAGTAAATACGTGTCCGGGAACAAATGAAGGAGTCAGTGAGTGAAAGCTCCAAGCCTGACTTAGCAGAACTGGCAGTCAGCCAAGTCCTGTAAAGTGCTGCTTGGCCTCCAGTAGGGGGTCAGAGATCTGGGGATCCCTCCCCACCAAATAGAGCTGCATCACGTAGGTGAAGGTCTCAAGTGCCTATTGTTTTCTTTTCATTGTTTTCCACGTGTCACAAGAGTATCATGTGAATCAATGGACTTAGTTTTCTCACTAGAGTAATGTGGCTGGGAATTATCTGTGTTGTCATAGGGGATTTTCCAGGTGTCATTTACAACTACCTGTGGACAAGGTGAGGTGCTACCCTCATCTTAGAAGTAGGGATGGTGGCCGGGCATGGTGGCTGATGCCTGAAATCTCAGCACTTTGGGAGGCCGAGGAGGGCAGATCAACTGATGTCGGGAGTTCGAGACCAGACTGACCAACATTCACCTGCCTTATCCCATTCCATCTTCACTACAACCCTCTAAGGGGGCTTGAGAAAGAAGATTACATTCCCAAAGGCACATCTTGGAAAGCAGGACCTTGGGCAAGTATTTTAATATCTCTAAACCTCAGTGAATTCATTTTCTTACAGAGAAAAAAATCTGTTGAGCACTACCCTAAGGGCAGTGCTGTATTGGGGGCTGAAGATAATGCATAAAACAAGTCACACAGAGACAGGGTTCCTGCCCCAGGAAATTTAAAGTCCAACAGGGAAGATGGGCATTCATCAAATAACAGTAAAATAATCATCTCATGAAATGAATGAATGCCTGCAACATGCTTAGAACTGCCTGCCACTAAGGACATGCTCACATGGACAATTATTATAATTAGACATAATTGTGATAAGTGCTCTAAAGGGAGCTTTGGGATCACAAAATAGGAAATACTAGCTAATCTTGTGGGGTCAGTAAGGAAAAGCTTACCAGAGGAACCGGCTTCCAAGCCAAGATGTTCATGGGTGAGTGTCAATCAACCATTGCAAAGTATGTTCCAGGCAAAGGAAACAGCAAAGGCAAAGGCCAAAGGTGGAAACATGATGGTACCGTTGAGAAACTATAGGAAGTCCAGTGTGCCTTGGTTGTAGATTGCAGAAGGGAATAAGACAAAGGGCTCAGCTCGGCAGGACCTTGAGGGTTGTGGGAGGAGTTTGGTCTAGCACTGGGGAGTGGAGAAGGTCTTGACATGCTCTGACTTGTCCCAGTTCTCATCCTCCACTCTTTGGTTGGTTAAGAGAAAAGTTTTAGACAAATTAAACTTAGCAGAATCTATTTGAGCAAAGAAACAATTCATGAATTGGGCAGCACACGGAACCAGTAAAGGTTCAGAGAGCTCCACCCAGCAACGTGGTCAGGCATTATTATCCACAGGGAAAGGAACTGAGGTACAGAAACAGCCTGATTGGTTACAGCTCTGTGTTTGCCTTATCTGAGCGTGTCTGGGCAGCTTGCAGCCTGTGACTGGCTGAAGCTTGGCTGCCCTGATTGGCCAAGGTTACTTGTTCCAAGAATATACTCTCAAGTTACATTGCAGTTTGTTTACATGTTGAGTTAGGTTACAGTTTGTTATGTAGGGAGGCCCCTTTAGGCCAAATTTAATTTAACAGGCACCATCCATGAAAGGCCCCAGAAACCAACCCCCAGTCTTGAATTTCATCAGTGACTTCAGTGATCCAGGGTCCTGCCCCAGCCCGTGGTTTTGTGCAGTACAGTGACCTCCTTCCACATTTTATCTTCAATGAAAGTTGGAAACACATGGGGTGGTGGCTTGAGGGTCAATGTCTTCTCTCAATTTTGCTATCTTTTTTTTTTGAGATGGAGTCTCACTCTGTCGCCCAGGCTGGAGTGCAGTGTCGAGATCTCAGCTCACCTGCAACCTCCGCGTCCCGGGTTGAAGTGATTCTTGTGCCTCAGCCTCCCGAGTACCTGGGATTACAGGCTTTTGCCACCATGCCTGGGTAATTTTTTGTATTTTTAGTGGAGACAGGGTTTCACTGTGTTAGCCAGGATGGTCCTGATCTTCTGACCTTGTGATAAGTCCACCTCAGTCTCTCAAAGTGCTGGGATTACAGGCGTGAGCCACTGTGACCGGCCTGCTATTTTGTTTAAAGAGAGGCAGAGATGTAGGGAAATAAGGGCAGAGACAGATAAGTAACAAAGATAACGAGACTGAGAAACAGAGTTAGGGACAAAGAGGGAACACACTGAGAGAAAGAGATGGGGAGACCGTGGCAGAAAGACAGACAGCGGGTGAACATCAGACAGTATATGGAGAGGAAGAGAGAGACACACAGAGAGAGGGCCACATAAGGAGGAGGAGGAGGAGGAATAGGAGGAGGGGAGAAGGAAGGAGGGAAAGGAGAGAAACAGATAAGAGATAGGAAAAAGAGAGAGTGACATAAGAAGAGAGGAAGAAAGAATGAACAAGACAAATAAGGTATCTTGAGAGGGAGATGAAAAAAGGACAGAGCAAGAGAGATTGGGGAGGAATCAGATTCAAATAGACGGAGATAGGAAGTTAAGCAAGATGGAAGAAAGCCAAAAACAAGGAGAGGAAAGGAAGAAAAACTGTCCGACAGGTATAGACAGAGAAAAAGACAGGGGTAGGGCTGCCAGGGGCAGAAAGAAAGGTATAACCCAAGCCAAAAAGGTGCTGCAGCCAAAGAAATTCCAAAAGGTGTCCAAACAGACGGCCCCAGAGATGGGGAGGGCGCGATGGGAGGGAGATAACAAGCATCAGGCTGTTGTGGAAAATGTTAGGTCACACAAATAGTTACAGAAGAACTGGCCCAGAGACCTGCCTGTTTCTAAGCTCATGTCGCCCACCTTCTGGATGTGCCAAAGGGACGTGGACCCTTTTCCAGACGCCTCCACGTAGACACACTTGTCCAACAACTTGACAGGCGTAGGGAATGCCTGAAAACTCACACTCGACATGGCCTTTCCAAGGTCTGCAGATTATGAACACTGAAGTGAAGGGAAAGGCTCCCTTTGTCTCTGCCTCAGCTTTTTCTGGCTCCCGTTGTTCTCCCGTTCTCATTTTTCTCCAAGTCTGTAGTTTAGAACCTATGGGGGGTTCCTTGCACTTCTGAGAATCAGTGGAAGAAAAAGACCCTCCCTGACTCACATGCATGAGTCCCATTCACAATTTATATACAACTTGGGTTTTTTCCCCCCTGAGCTCTTGAAGCCTGTGGATCTCAGGCTGAGACCAGAAGACAGCCTAGAGACACACACACAGACACATGGCCAGAAACACATACCCCACACATACCCCCAGAAACAAACACAAGGCGATAACCAAACCTTAAGGCTCCTTAGTACAAGCCAAGCGCTATCCTAAGAATTTTTACAATTGTCTCCTTTAACCTCACAAGAGCCCTTTGAGAGAGGTGCCATTCTCCCCATATGAGAAGTGAAGAACACTAAGAATGTTGTCATAAATATGCTGACACTCACACATGTAGAGGCACACACACACACACACAACCGGAAGCAGGTCATTATACTCTGTGGAGGTCACAAAACCCTTTGGAACTCTAACAGAAGCTACAAACCCTCTACCAGAAAAATGAACATGGCGCTGGGCGCAGTGGCTCATGCCTGTAATCCCAGCACTTTGGGAGGCCAAGGTGAGTGGATCACCTGAGGTCAGGAGTTTAAGACCAGCCTGGCCAACATGGTGAAACCCCATGTCTACTAATGATACAAGAAATTAGCCAGGCACGGTGGTGGATACCTGTAATCCCAGTTACTTGGGAGGCTGAGACACGAGAATCATTTGAACCCCCTGGGAGGCAGAGGTTGCAGTGAGCCGAGATGGCGCCACTGTCCTCCAGCCTGAGTGAGAGAGAGAGACTCCATCTCAAAAAAAAAAAAAAAAAAATAGAGAGATGAACATGGCACATCCACTCAAAGATTTGCACCTGGTTTCAGAGCAGCTTCCTCAAAGTCCACCCTGAATTGTAGGTAAAAGGCCAGTCTTATGCAAATCTGTTGCAGTGGACATACGTATCTGGGCTTAGGGACATATGAGAGTGAAGAGTATTCACCTGTCCTGTGCCCACGCTGGTGACCTTCTGTGTCCACAGGGAAGCGGATTTTTCTTGGTGAAGGCATCGCCCGCAATGAATTGTTCCTCTTCTTCACCACCATCCTTCAGAACTTCTCCATGGCCAGCCCCGTGGCTCCTGAAGACATCGACCTGACACCCCAGGAGTGTGGTGTGGGCAAAATACCCCCAAAGTACCACATCTGCTTCCTGCCCCACTGAAGGGGCTGAGGGAAAGGGGTCAAAGGATTCCAAGGTCATTCAGTGTCCCCACCTCTGTAGACAGTGGCTCTGACTCCCCGCAACTTCCTGCCTCTGAGAGACCAGCAGCAAGCCAGCTTCCTTCCCCTCCATGGCACCAGTTGTCTGAGGTCACATTGCAAGTGAGTGGAGGAGTGAGATTATTGAAAATTATAATATACAAAATTATATATGTATAATTATATATATATATTTAGATGGAGTCTTACTCTGTCGCCCAGGCTGGAGTGCATTGATGCGATCTCAGCTCACTGCAACCTCCACTCACGGGGTTCAAGCAATTCTCCTGCCTCAGCCTCCCTAGTAGCTGGGATTACAGGTGTGCGCTACCAAGCTCGGCTAATTTTTGTATTTTTAGTAGAGACGGGGTTTCATCGTGTTGGCCAGGCTCGTCTTGAACTCCTGAACTCGAATGGTTCACCCACCTTGGCCTACCAAAGTGTTGGGATTACAGATGTGAGTCACCGTGCCTGGCCATATATATATAATTTTAAAAATTAAGATGAAATTCACATAACATAAAATTAGCCATTTTAAAGTGTACAATTTAGTGGCATGTGGTTCATTCACGAAGCTGTACAGCCACCACCATCTAGTTCCAAACATTTTCTTTTTTTCTGAGACAGAATCTCGCTCTGTCACCCAGGCTGGAGTTCAGTGGCGCCATCTCGGCTCACTGCAACCTCCACATCCTGGGTTCAACAGATTCTCCTGCCTCAGCCTCTGGAGTAGCTGTGATCACAGGTGCCCCCCACCATGCCCGGCTAAATTTTGTATTTTTAGGTGGTCTCGAACTCCTGATGTTAGGTGATTTGCCTAGTTCCAAATGTTTTATTATATCCCTCCAACAAAACCGATAGCTCTCAAGCTGTCACTCCCCATAACCCATTCTCCTTTTCATCTCAGCCCCTGACAATCTGGCTTTTGTCCCTATGGACTTACCGATTCTCAATATTTCCTATAAACAGAATCATACAATATTAGATTTTTTTTTTTTTTTTTGAAACAAAGCCTTGCTTTGTCTCCCAGGCTGGAGTGCTGTGGTGTGATTTTGGTTCACTGCACTCTGCCTTCCAGGTTCAAGAGATTCTCATGCCTCAGCTCCCAAGTAGCTGGGATCACAGGCATGTGCTACCACGCCTGGCTGGTTTTCTTGTACTTTTAGTGGGGACGTGTTGGCCAAGCTGGTTGTGAGCTCCGGGCCTCAGGTGATCCTCGCATCTTAGTATCCCAAAGTGCTGATATTACAGGTGTAATAGGTGATCTTTTGTGTCTGGTTGCTTTCACGTTGAACGCTATTTTTGAGGGTCGTGCCTGTTGTAGACCACAGTCACACACTGCTGTAGTCTTCCCCCATCCTCGTTCCCAGCTGCCTCTTCCTACTGCTTCCCTCTGTCAAAAGCCTCCTTGGCCCAGGTTCCCTGAGCTGTGGGATTCTGCACTGGTGCTTTGGATTCTCTGATATGTTCCTTCAAATCCGCTGAGAATTAAATAAACCTCTCTAAAGCCTGACCTCCCCAGGTCAAGAGGTGATCTGTGCCATTTCGTGTGGGATTCTTTTGTTGTCAGGTCCCTAGGGATTTTTCTGGAAGGAACATTGGTGAGAACACCTCTCTCACCTCAATGCCAACTCTGTGAAGGGCCAAACTATTGTCTTGCTCATCACTGTACTCTCAACACAGCGTGTGGCCTATGACAGGTGTTCAAAATATTTGCTGAGGAATGAATGAATGAATGAATGAGTGGCTAATCAGCATCCCCTACCCCCACAGCCCTCCCAAAATGGAGCTAGGCCTCTCCATCAGACTGTCTCCTCCATATCCCACTTTTTTCTGAGGCTCAGAATAAATTCTCATCCCCAAAGAGCCCAAGATGCCCCCAATTCTGCCTGCCAGCTACTCTCAATCCCCTGTGCTGCAATGCAACCTTTTGATAAAGCTTAGCAGTATTCTTGAAGTGGAACCAGTCTAAATCCAGCCTCCAGGCTGGACATGGTGGCTCATGCCTATAATCACAGCACTTTGGGAGGCCAAGGCTAGTGGAGCACCTCAAGTCAGGGGGTTTGAGACCAGCCTGACTAACATACGGAAACCCTGTCTCAACTAAAAAAATACAAAAATTAGCCTGGTGTGGTGGCACGCACCTGTAGTCCCAGCTGCTCAGGAGACTGAGACAGGAGAATCACTTGAACATAGGAGGCAGAGTGTGCAGTGAGCCAAGATCCCACCACTGCACTCCAGCCTGGGTGACAACGCAAGACTCCATCTCAAAAATCAATCAATCAATCCATCAATCAATCAATCAATCCAACCTCCACACATTCCACCAGCAGGACCACCACCCTTCCCTGAGGGAGATGCTGCAAGTTTAATATCTTTATCACGAGGATACACCAGCCAGCCTGTGGCCAATGGGAAGCTGGCTCTGAGACTCAGCCCTGAGATGCTAATCTGTTGGTCTCTGCAGCACCTGTCAGCTTTGGGCTCCTTGTAGCCTCTGAAGAGTTAGCAGGGACTCTGCCAGTGCAAATGCATAGCACACCTTCCCTTACCAACCACAGAAATCAAACAACAAACAGAACAACATGTCTTTTAAGAGCGACAGCAGGATGGAAGGTGGGTGGAATGAGGACCACGGCGCCCTAAGCCTTCTCACTCCTCATTGTCCTCAGTGACCTCTTGTTACTCTGGGTCTGGGGCCATTCCCACCTCCCAGGGCTGCCTCTCTCCTAGGCCCTGGCCTCTGTCCTTCCTGGGGGAGCACTTTGCAAATAAACCACAGGGCTTTCTCAAGTTTGTCCAGGTTGTCAGATGGGGGAGTGTGGAAGGGATGGAAAGGGTGGAGGTGGGTAGAAGGGAAACTGCTCACGGGCAGCAAGTCAGTTGGGGTGAAACTTTGGATGGGACTCCACAGAAAAGATTAGGAGTTCCTTTCTCGCTTATATATTAACTACAGAAGCTTCTAGAATTTTATAAGGTCAAATGAAGAGGAGGCTGACAGGAGGGAGAAATTCTGATAGACTTGAGGTTTTGAGCTGTGGTCCTGGGGTGGAGCAAGATAAGAAAAGTACTGGAGATTGGGGTTTGAGGAGTCTATGCAATAATTTTTATTTTTAAAAATCTTTGTGGCTGCATAGTAGGTGTATATAGTATGGAGTATGTGAGATATTTCGATACAGACAATGTATAATCACAGACATACAATGTTGATAGACACACAGTGTATAATCACATATAATAATCACATCAGGGTAAATCTGGTAACCATCACCTCAAGCACTCACCATTTCTTTGTGTTACAAACGTTACAATTATATTCCCTCTATAATGTAAAATGTACAACAGGCTGGGCACTTACATGTTCAACCGAATCATATGGTTACCAGCTGTCTTAGAAATAATCACTAATAAAACCGACAGAACCTTGACTATTCTGGCCTGGCAAGAAACACAGACGAGAAGTACTATCTATCAAAATAGATTGGCTCTTGAGTACTTGCTAGCAGCTGAAGGAGGCGCCTGTGAGAAACTTAACCTTACTAATTGTTGTCTACACATAGATGACCAAGAACAAGTAGTTGAAGACATAGTTAGAGATATGACAAAACTGGCACATGTGCCCGTGTAAGTGTGGCATGGATTGGATCCGGGGGCCATGTTTGGAAAATGGTTCCCAGCACTAGGAGGATTTAAACTCTCATAATAGGAGTTATAGTAGTAATAGGAACCTGCTTCCTGCTCCCTTGTTTGCTACCTATACTTCTTCAAATGATGAAAAGCTTCATCACTACCTTAGTCCAACAAAATGCTACAGCACAAGTGTACTATATGAATCACTATTAATCTGTCTTGCAAGAAATCATGGGTAGTGAGGATGAAAGCAATAACTTCCACTAATGAGTGAGGTTCTCAAAGGAGGGGAATAAAGGAGGAGAAACTTGGTGTCCTTGAAATTTGTGTCCTTCCTGAGGAGGAGAGCGGGAGGGGTGGAGGTGAAGCCCACTCTCGGTGTAGCCTCACCCCACTACCGACCTCCAGCTACAGCTCTCCTAGGGAGGAGGGGTGGAATATTATGGCCTGAGAGATGTTCAGAGGAGGCTCTGAACCTCCCTGAGCCTCAGTTTCCTGAGTGTACAAAGGATGTACGAAAGATGGGGTGATCTATGCCAGGTGTCTTAATGGAAGGTTTAGATGCCCCTTCCTCCAGATACACTCGCAAATATGACTGCTGTGCTATCATCTCCTTTTTAGGAATCTGAAGAATCTGCTGTGTGACCCTAGACAAATGAAACTGATTCACTCTGGGCCTTGGTTTTCCCCACTCTGAAAAGGGTAAGATGTTTCCTTCCCTTTTGCCTGGGTGCAGGTACTGAGTCGTTAAGGGAGTATCAGCTGATGACTGAAGGGTAGATTCTAACAGGAACTTGGAAGCCAGGGAAATACCAGCTACACCACAGAAAGGACAGCTGGGTGAGGGAGGCCCCTGCTGGTGTGAGCAGTGGCCTTGCAGCAAACAGTGGTCTCTTACCAATGGAAAAGGGCACAAAAGCATCACTCTTCTTAAACTGTCTCTTCCCATCCAGGAATTACTGGGGATTGAAGTACTGGGGGTTGGAGAAGAACCTGGGGGTCTCTCAGCACAGAGCCCAGCATAGGGAACATTTCTGTGCCCTGGGAGGGAGGAGGAAGGTGTGTGAGATGAGGCGGGTTGGGGGATTGGTGAAGGTCCACAGGGGCTGGAGGGAGAACTAGGGTGCTCCAGGTGAGGGTAAGTGGCAGGCATGGGAGTTGGGGACCTCTGAGGGAGGAGTTTTGGGGGATAGAAGGTTCATGTCCCTGAGACAGGAAGTTTGGGAGACATGGGGTTCATGTCCTCTTAGGCCGGGTGTTCAGGGAACATGAAATTTGTGTCCTTAAGGCAAAAGGGCAAGGGGAAAGGAAAAGGAGACTCATGTCACTTGAGACAGGGAGTTTGTGGACATGGAGCTGCTTCCTCTGCGGCGAAAATTCTGTTGAAGATACAGGATTCAGGTGTCTCTGAGACGGAAGATGGAAGGGATGTGGTGACTGGAAAAATCTTTGATTTAAGGAGTGGGACAGGGGCTAGAAAGCTTCTCATGGAGATGGGATGCTGGGGTCTCAGGGAGTGTGTTGGAAGTCCTTCTAGGCTGGTGCGGGGACATGCAGCACCTTCAGGAGGAAGACATCCTGAAACT